CCTGGTGGGGTCCAGAGGGATCACGGGGCTGATGCCTTCAGCGCTGCAAACGTAACTTCAGGCACCACAGCTAACGGCCTGCAATAACGCAGACTTTAAGTTGCACATACTGAAGACAGTAATACTATCTAGAAGTGATGACATCATCAGGTTCTTCTCTGTACTCGTAATGCTCCGGAGATCGTGTAAACTCTGCCTAGGAAACGTCCCACTGGGTGATCGCTCTCAGCTGAACATGCCGGATGGCATCGTCCTCCTTCTGGGCTCCCGGGGTCTCAGGGTGTGTGTCTATGCATTTGTGTTCTGTTTTTCTTAATATGCAACTATATGTATGACCTCGTACTGGCCTTAATTTAATGACTGCTTGAGATTTAACGTTATTTTTCTTTAGTGTGTGTAGTTTAAGCAAACAATTTTTTTTTCTTTTTTTTTTTTCCAACAGGAAAATCATTCACCTCTATTCAGGATTTCTTCTGGAGTAAAAGGTAACTCAACTGAAATGCTAAACTATTGGGAAGACATTAATTTTAGCTAGATCGTAACTAATTTTCATTACATCCTAATATACTAATTCTAACTAGAGTCCCATCACTAATTTTTTTTATTATATCAATGGTAGCGATCACCAACTGACACAAATTACGTAACGGAGTCTCTAAAACAGGCATTGCAGGGAAGTACATTCAATGAGACTTTAAAAGGTAGATTAAGAGTCCCTGATTCCTAAACACATATGTAAGCATGTAACTTCGTGTTCTCAGCAGTCCATTGAATTTAATGATTATTTATAGCATATCAAGTTGTATCATTAAGCGGATGCCTAAGTCATTGCAATACAGGGGCTACAGATCTTAAGAAACTCTTACGACCATCCTGTCTGACCTTGTGCACATCTCCAAGCAGAGCACTGCCTGAAAGTTTCATTCACAGACCCCAAGAGCTTCCAACCAGCTGAAGTGGATCACAGTTCTATTTAGATACAACAGTGTTTGTTTTTTTTTAATTTTGCATATTTACTGTTCCATATGTTATACTGCATAGTGGCACCTTACTGCTTGTAAGGGAAGGATTATTTTGACTAATTATTCTGCACAAGTCTACAGCCCCTGGTGATAATTTAGCACATGGGTAATATATTTTCAGCATAGTGAACACCCAGGATAAAGCTCTAAGTAGGGAACAAAAACTCTGTCAGGCCTACGCACTCTCATAATCTGTTTTAATCTGAAACCAATGAGTAATATTGACTAGCTGCCTTGCACGATTTTTGATACAGCTCTGACAGATGCTGCCCTGCCAACGAGAATGGATAAGAGCTGCTCGGTGTGCTATAAGTATTTCTTGGTAAAAGTCTCACAATCATAAGACTTTATCTGTATGCGCAAGTGCAGGTTTTTATGAAATTTAAGAATATATGCTACTTAGGGTTTTGAGGACCCAGGCAGAAATCCTAAAAGATGTGTCTCTGTCATGGGGTTTAGAAACCTGACCTGGAATTACTGTTGAAAATTACTTTCGGTTCTGATAGCCTTATGTGTGGGGCAGGAAACAGCCAACGAACCTTTTCTCCGTACATGATAATTACCTGACTTGGAGTATTTTTTTAAGAAATGGGTTCTTTTCCTTTGGTGATCACATCAGAGGAAAACTTCATTTGTTTATAAAAATTAATTCAGTAACTCAGTGTCTGTAGAGGCATTGTTTGGTTTCAGCAAGGCTTTCTCCCAGTGTCAGGCTGTCCTGTTTACTGGTATGTTGAAGATTTATAATTCATTTGAACTCTAGACTAGATCATTTGACCGAAAATACCATGTTTCACATCAGATTTTCTTTTTTCCACAGTGACTGATAGCTGTTGGAAGCAATAGGACTACTAACGGGCTTGTTCACGTACAGGTGGGTGGGTGATGTTAATTTTATTTCACATGACTGGAACTGTTCTAACACGGAACAATGGCTGATTCTTGCAATATATGGGAAAGGCTCGATACCACTTTTCTTGGTAACTGAAATCAAGACTGGACTTGGCTGTTTAAGTAATACAGCCATTGTCTTTAATATTGCTAATCAGTCTGTCTGATGTTTCTGGTTTCGATTTTCTCCTGCGCGGGATGTGTGATCAGCGCAGTGTTCAGGTAAAGAGATTTCTTAGGCTGTAAAAGTGACAGCTCTGAAGTGAGCTCTTACTGAGTCAGAGAGTTAAAGGGATTGTAATGGTATGGGGGAAAAACCCAGAGAAGAAAAGGGAAATTTCTCACGGAGAAACTAGATTAACTTTAGCATCCCTGTTCACTAAAGACAATTTGGAGAATGTTTACAAGTGGAACCTTTATTTGCGGCCAAAGTGAACAACAACGAATCTTCGCTATTAGACAGTGCTCAGCTAAAGAGTTTGATGCAACTCGGGCTCCAAAGTGCAGCGGTGTCATCAAGCGTGTTCAGCCTCTACTTAAAACTGCCTTTGCACCTGCCAGCTGCAAGACAGCTGCTCTGGTACCAGCTTCCAGAGATCTGGGTAACTGATTATCCATGAACCTGATGTCTGCACCTGGCCAGTTTGCATAAATTATAATAAAGAAGAGTGTTACTGTACACATAGCAAATACGGTGTTTTGGGGAACACTCAAAAAGCTTTTGTAGAGGTAATTTATGCATCATAAATCTGTTATAGTATTTAAGAAAAGCTGATGAGTATATGGATTGTTTGAAGTCCAACTGATACAATTACTTCGACTCTCAAGAGACTTTTGACAAGGCCCTTTGCCAGAGACTCTTAAAAAAGTTAAAGAAGGCTCAGACTACCCAACATATTAAGCGATCTGGAAAGTACATGAGCAGTGGGGTGATGACATCTGCTGATGAAACAAAGCTCTTCAGGGTAATAAAGACATGGACTGACTGTGCAGAGTTGCAAAGAATCTTAGTTAAAAAGTGGGAGAAGTAATATAACACAGATAGATGCAAAAAGTGAGCAAACATGAAAAAATGCTGATGTTATCACTCATGGCTTTGGAACTATATTAATTGGGACTGTTCTGTGGATATGTCAGATCAATGCTATGTAACGACTAAAAAAGCAAAGCAAATCTCAGGAATCATTAGAAAAGAAATTGAGAAGAGAACAGAAAATTCCATTATGCTGCAGTGTAAATCTATGGTGTATGCACATCTTCAATCCTGTTTGTGGTTCTGGTCCCTCTTTCTTAAAAAGAATGTATCAGAGTTGGGGAAGAATCAGAAAAAGGCAACAGGGTTGAGCTGAACATACAGGTCACTGATGGAGACAGGTGGCTGGATTTGATGGACTTTGGTCACTGGCCATTCTTACATTCAAAAATTATTCTAAGTTGAACCTTTGCTCAGTGTCACAAAAACAGTCATTAGGAAGAGAGGTTAGCCTTCCTGGGGGAAAAAAACATCAACAAAGTAGTAGTCTAGTTTGAAATATGAAACTCTTCTAGGTTCCCTGATTGGAAAAATGTACCTCAAAAGAAAAAGCTAAAAAGCATCTCTAAAAATAAGTTTGACTTGCAGAAGATGGATGTTTATAAAAAAATCAAACACGCAAAACCAAAACCATTGTTTCTTATGTTAGGACTCAGGAGCTCAAAAGAGGCTGTTTGACATCAAAATGTTAAGTGTTTCATGACATCAAAATGTTAAGTGTTTCACATAGAATATATGATGCTCTTGCTCCACAGATTCCTAATGGAGTGACTCTCAGTTCTGTGCCAGGTGGCATGAAACCGTACCAGTGATGACTGATAGATGCGTTTCTCCTCGATGGTTGGGAGGAGGCTGGCCTAGTGATTATCTTCTTGGAGAAGTTCAGCGTCTCTCTTTTTAGCCCTCACAGGATGCTTCAGAGCTGTTTGTGACCCATATTCAGGATCTCTTTCAAGAAAGCTTGGGCTGGCATAATGTAAGCGATATTCTGGTACTCCTGGGTGGATCTGATTGAAAGGTCTCAAGGAAATTTGTCTTAAGATATTTTCTTCAGGTTTGTAAAGATTTCAGGTTACACTAGGTGAATCTAAAGAGTATGGAAAGCCTGTAGATTGTATACTATGATACCTCAACTTCCACAACTCTTGTATCACCATTCCGGACTAAAACATTAGCTTTCTTTTTCCAGATCCCCTAACCAGTCTATTCTTCCTCTCTGAGGGAATCTTCACTCCACAAGTCTTTACAGTCATTGACCACGTGCATGATCACGAACATCTCAGTACTTGGAACATGCTGTGAGCTTCAGCACCAACACATTGAATTCTGGTACCCACTACCTGACTTCAGCATTTGAAGACTGAATGTTGAAGAGAAAATCTGAATAGTCTGGAGGAATAAATGAAAACTGAGCTCTGCATTTTTCAAAAAGAGGTCTTGATTTACAAGTCTGGCAGAAATTATGTTTATGGAAGGAATCCAGACAGTATTGTTTTTTATCTTGGGTACTCTACTAATAAAATGTCCCTTATAAATATCAAAAACATGACATTCAGCTTTTAGAGAGGAAAAAAAAATATGCTTGAGAACAGCTTTGTCCCAAGCACAGGGGCATCAATTACATGCCCAGATATTTCTTTTTCCGCCTGTCACTCTTCAGTATTGGTCTATGCAGCTTTGCAGAACATTAGTTCAGAAAGGAGGTGTGAATAAAAGATAATAAAGAAGGATTTAGTTGCCTGCAAGATGAAAATGAAAAGCATGTAAATTCCCACCAGTTCTAGTACTGCTTGTGTTGCCATACACCAGAATCCTGTCTGGATGATTATGTTAACATTTTACTTTAGCAATGATGTCATTGATGTGACGTGATGGAACATCTAGCTTAGGAGAGTATCTCATCCACTGTGTAAGCTGAACTTTTCAACAAGTTAATATTTCTTCAGTGCTGGACTCTAGTATGAAAAGTTCTATTTCAGCAAAAAAGTAAGCATCTTTCTTCACTGCCTCAGGAAGATTACACTGGAAAGTGAAAAGCGAAATCGGAGCAGACGATGACTCAGTATAACCATTCAGCAGAGCTCTTTCTCCAGAGCTCAGCAAATAAGTCATTAAATTTCACTGAAACACCACTGGCTTTGGATGAAAGGACACTATTAGGGCTGAAGATTTCACTGTCAGTCCTTCTGTCGGTTATAACTTTGTCAACGATCCTTGCAAACGTTTTTGTTGTTATTACAATTTTTCTGACTAGAAAGCTCCACACACCTGCAAATTACCTCATTGGCTCATTGGCAGTGACTGATCTTTTAGTGTCTGTCCTAGTAATGCCCATCAGTATTGCTTACACTGTCACCCACACGTGGGCCTTTGGCCAGGTGTTGTGTGATATCTGGTTGTCATCAGACATCACGTGCTGCACAGCCTCAATCCTTCACCTCTGTGTTATTGCACTGGACAGGTACTGGGCTATCACCGATGCTCTGGAGTATGCCAAACGCCGGACCGCTGGCCGAGCGGCACTCATGATTGCCGTGGTCTGGATGATCTCTATTAGTATTTCTGTGCCACCGTTTTTCTGGAGGCAGGTGAAAGCTCATGAAGAAATTGAAAAGTGTGCTGTGAACACAGATCAAATTTCCTACACAATTTATTCCACTTGTGGAGCTTTCTACATCCCAGCCATACTTCTCCTAATATTGTATGGTAGAATTTTTGTAGCGGCTCGATCCAGGATTCTGAAGCCACCCTCATTATATGGGAAGCGTTTCACTACTGCACACCTGATTACTGGCTCTGCTGGGTCTTCCCTCTGCTCCATTAATGCTAGCCTTCATGAAGGGCATTCCCATTCAGATGGGTCCCCAATATTTATCAATCATGTTAAAATAAAACTTGCAGATAGTATCCTGGAAAGGAAAAGAATTTCTGCTGCAAGAGAAAGGAAAGCCACCAAAACTTTAGGCATTATTCTGGGAGCTTTCATTTTCTGCTGGCTGCCTTTTTTTGTCATGTCCCTAGTCCTACCAATCTGCCAAGATGCTTGTTGGTTTCATCCCATCCTACTGGACTTTTTTACATGGTTAGGTTACATAAACTCATTGATCAATCCAGTCATTTATACAGCTTTTAATGAAGAATTTAAACAGGCTTTCCAAAAACTAATACATTTCAAAAAGTGTTCGTCTTGAGCCTCTCCTATTGCGTTACTGACCCATGTGCAATCTTGCAGCCTCCCTGGAAACTTTCTGTGCTTTTATTCCTAAGGTACGGAGTGGTATTTGCCATCTCTGCTGCTTACCTGTGCTGTGCATGTAACTGGGAACTTCTTGCCAATTTGGTACTTTCTGTCTGGAATTCTACATCCCGTAACAGAACTTGTCTGTGGTCTCTGCAGTGATCGTTCGTGTATGTAAGATCAACACATGAAGTAAGCTTTGTAACTAGTGATGGAGCGTGACCCAGAAAGCTGAATTTGCACAATGAGATGACACATATTATCCAATTCCACCATGCCCTCGTAACCTGATGGGAGGAAAATGTGTGCCTGTTTGTACGACGACAGTATTTCTTCTGTATATTATTATAAATTTTTGTAGGCTGAGAAAGTTTCTGGAGAACAAGATCTGATGTCTACATTTTCTATGGCATGTATCCTATCCATCTGGAATTGATGAAACCTGTAACTTTTTCAGAAGTTGTGTGACACAGGCTGACTATAAGGAGCAGGGCATAGAAGGCATAGCGCATATGGAAGTTCTGTGGATATTTCACAAATACTGCATTTGAAGCTATGCTTACGGTGAACTGTAGAAAGAAGACAATTTATTTGGAATAATTTCTACACATTTTATGATGAATAGAATAGCCAGTGCAGGAATACTACAAAATAAATAGCATGAAAATTATTGAAAAGTACCTTGATCTTATATTTCCATTATTTAATCTTTTGCATGCACAAACTGAAACAGGAAAATATGTTTAGTGCCAGTATGGAATGACTGGAACCTCAAAAAAGAGCCAGAAGGTTCACTCCTTGGTGACAAGAAATGGGGACTCAGAGACAAGAGAATGAAGTGACGTATGAAGGAAAACTGTCTTAGTAATTGAGGTTGTTGGGGTGGATGTGACATTACTGTCTCTGGAAGTCTTTAAGAACTGGTCAAACAAACATCTGTCAGAGATGACAATGTCAGGACCCTCCTCTGGGGCTGTCAAGAGTGGAGCAGGTCCCCTCTGACCTGCACTTCTCTGTCCCTGGGATTATTTCCCCCATTTGGCAGGTGGGAAGCTGGCACATGGAGATCTTGGTTGCAGTCTCGGACAGGACAGCCCACCAAGTGGTGCAGTCCAAATTTCATTCAACTTTTTAGAGTCTCTGGGCTTTATACAGCAGAAGCATCACATCCACACTGCATATAAGCGGCGTGCACTGCTTTGAAAGAGTTATCCCATCATCCTCCTGACTGCCCTTCCATCTCTCAGCCTGCCTGAATTCATCTCCACCATCCGCCACTGTAGCCATCGCACCACACTCCACCACAGCCCAGGTCCACCACCGTACTTCAGCCTCTCCTTCACATTTGCTGCATAGTCTTGCAGCTTCCTCCTGTTGCTGGTGCCTCTGCTGAGGGCTGGACCATAAAGTAATGCCCCAGGACCACTCACATGCTGCAGAATCAGGCAGAGCAGTTGTGTAGGTCACAGAATTGTAGTCCTTTCTCTCGCAGTACACATCAAGGGCAATTAAGAGTTATCCCTGTTTGGGACCCAGCCCCTCTTCCTTCCCAGGAGTGATCGGATCTAGCTCAGTCCAGCTCAAGGGATTCTGATGGTGGCACTACCTGGCCATGTCCACACTGTCTGCTTCCAGAGTGTGTCCAGAGTGCCCACTGGCAGGGGTGGTTCTTTTGCCTGTGCTCACTCCTGAACTGTGCTTGTGCATTTCGTGGTGGTGTGCGAGATGGCACGGCCACAGCCATATTGGGCAAGGCAGGAGCCATTAACTAGTGCAGACAACCTGGTTCTCACACCTGAGGCCAGGCCCTGGCACTAATTAATTTGCTGTTACAGACATAATGTGTGAGGAAGTAGTGTACAACTTCAAGCTCCAGGCTCCCTTCTGGGCTGCCATCCCTGAGTCCAGGCTGCTCATACCTTCTACCATTGTGGGACAGACGGCATGGCATTGCAAGTCCAGTGTTGGTCTGGAGGTAGCTGAGGTATGTAGGCATCTCAGGAGGTTGGTATAAGCACCTCAGTCAGCCACTGAACTCATGTGTTTAAAGAGCTGATGTTGAAAGATAGGCTTTTTGCCCCTGGGTCCACATCACTGGAGCTCTTTGCAACCTCCACCAGCTGTACAAGGATTTGGAGGAGCCTTTCTGTTTGACATATTGACACAGCAAGACAAGCCTGCTTTTAAAACGACCCAGCAGTACTGCTGGCAGTGGCTGACCCCCAGAACAAAGAGCACCCTGGAAAGTTTCCTGCAGCCTTACAGCATAAGGACTAGTATGAGGGTGTCGATGACGTGACATCCCCTCGTTCCCTCAGGAATCCTTTCCTGTCCCAAACAATTTAACCTGGAAGACAGCCACAGCCTGGAGAGCGTGTACCTCCAGGAGTCACGGGATCTCTGCAGACTTTTTTTTTTGCACTCCAGGCAAAGGCCTGGGTGTATCTGAAGTTTCCCCTCCTTTCCCCTAGATGCTGTTTTCATGCTGTCCATCCTGCCTGCCCCCTGGGCTTTCGAGACCCCTTTGTCTGCTGTGCTCATCTGGCACAGCCCTGTGAGCTGAGGGGCCCAGGGCACAGGGAGGGTGTCACACAGCGTTAACCGCACAAACGTACCTGTTCTACAGCTTCAAAACAAAAAAGACCCAACTAGGGCAAGCGGATAAAGGACAAACCAAGTGAACGACAGTCAAGGTTGCAGTCGGAACCCTGAATGAAGGTCTGGGTTCCACAGGGACTTGAATAAGAGAATCAAAGATGATTTCTCTGCCTCCCCTCCAGCAGTGTGGCCAGCACAGTGCTGGTGCCTCCTGCTTTGCACCTCAGGCTCTGCTGAGAGCGATAGGCTGGCCTTCCCACCAGATGCCTTCATGCTGATTAAGGCAGGGCTTGCCTTCAGCCAGGTCCCTTATGAACTACTGATTCTCTTCCTACCTCATGTTCCAGGACATCGTGGTAGCAGTGAACCGTCAGGTCACAGTGTTCCTGCAAAAACTTGGCAGCAAGGCTGTCACTTGTTTGTCCAAATGATGAATTTTGTCCTGCCTTTCACTTAAGGAGCTTCTCCACAGTGTCCTTCAGGTGGTCTCATGCCTGGTTCTAACCTTGAAATCAGAGTCTCGGAGCAGCTGATGCCAACATCTCATCAGAAATACTGGTAAAGGCAATAACAGCAAACGTGTTAGTCCTTGCTCAGATCTGGGGACATACAATACATAGAATCAGAGTAATTCAGGTTGGAAGGGACCTCTGGAGGTCACTAGTCCAAAATCAGGCTCAAAGCAGGGCCAGCTGTGACATCAGACGAGGTTACTCAAAGTTTTCTTCAGCTTTCCAAGGATGAGGATGCACAACCTGTCTGGGTAACCTGTCCCAGTGCTTGACTGTCCTCATGGTGAAAAAGACTTTCCTTATACCCAGTTTGAACCTCTCTTTTTTCAGCTTATGTCTGTTGTCTCTCAGTCTTCATCAATCACTTCCTCAGATCCTGGGGGAGCTGCTGCCAGGTTGCCTCACAGCATTCTCTTCTCCAGACTGAGCAAGCTTGGTGCATTCAGCTTCTCGCTCTGCGTTCCTGGGGCATGTTCTCCAGTCTCCTGACCATTCTGGTGCCCATACATTGACTTCACTCTGGTTTAATGCAGCTTGTTATGTGCTTCCTCCTGGATTACGGGAGGTTTATTCTGCTCTCCATCCCTGTCTTCCAGCTCTGGGGGCTGACTACCCTGGGAATAACTGGTCTGACTATTAAAGACTGAGGCAAAGAAGGCAATAAGTACCTCAGCCTTTTCCTCATCCTTGGTGGCAATGTTCCCGCCTACATCAAGTAAAAGATGGAGATTCTCCTTGGTTCTCTTTTTGTTGTTAATGTATTTCTAAAAACATTTTTGTTACCCCTTACAACAGTGACCAGACTGAGTTCTAGCTGGGAATGGTCCTGGAAGGGCCTTTGAGAGGCCAGCTAGTCCATTCCCATTGGATGGTGGATGATCCCACCTGGATCAGCTAAGCTTTTGTCCTTTTCCTCTCTTGCCTGCTCTTGAATATTTCCAATGATGAACAGAATGGCAAACAGTGTAGGAAGATGATCCACTACTATTCTTTGGACTTCTATAAGACACTTTAATTCAAAAGCAAACAAACTAGGCCTTTGATTAGATTATAGGCTAATTAAAAAAGGCACATGGTCTAATATTACACCATTCTTAATGCTGGTAAATATTTGATATAGTGCTTCAGGAACTCATATTGGAAAAAGCAGTGATATGGAGCTGGCACAGGAAAACACTAGCTAAGGATCATAAATGAAAGATAAATAACACCCCATAGCCTCTCAGTTGAAAGGAAGAGGCTATCATGTCACAGAGATCAATGTCCATATTTACCATGTCATTAATGCTCTGTGGATCACAGTCAAGAGTACACAAATGCATTTCACAGAAGGTACATGAGGGCTGCATGACTTTTAAGTACCTCTCCAGTGAAGCTCTTGCAATATTGAGCACACAGGTAAGTTAAAACACATTTTTTTATTTGTATATAGTGCTTATTTGTACATAGCGTGGTTGTCCCAGCAGATAGTTACTTCAATGATGATACAGAATTTATTGAAAACAGAATAAATATCTAAATAAAAGTCAAAGCATGTGTGTTAACTGCAGCACCCTGCAATTAAATTTCAGTGCAGGTTATTCCCGCAACTGGGGAAGAGGATGAGTGTCAGCAGTGAGGAGTCACCAAGACAACAAAAGTGGAAGATGATCAGTCCGCCCAGGACAAGCCTGAACCTTGCAGTGTGAAGGAAAGATGATCATGGAAAGCGTGTGAGTTGAAGCGATACTGCCATGCTTACCAATCCAAAGATGGTTCCTTGTGAATGGGGTAGGGAGGAACAAATGTTGTACATGTAAGACTACTCCCTCTGCAGTAAACCTTGAGAGCCCTTGAAGGAATG